ACTTCTGAGGACCAAGAATGAGGACCTCTTCATGTGAAAAGGATGCAGGAACCAGCTTGAAAGGGTCACCACTGTCCAAATGAAGACAACCTGCAGATCAAAATGAATCATGGCAGGAATAGTTTCCCAATACTGAATGATAATCCATGAGTCTAGAGTACTCCTTAAGAAAAGCTTTGAAAATCGAGATTGAGAGAAGGGAAAGATCTTTACAAAAGATTGCTCAGAATTAAAGATACAAGTAGACAGTGGAAAGAAGAAATCACCTTTAAACAAACATAACAATTCAGCCACCAGTTATCAGTAGATGGTCTTTAGGGGAAATGATGTTAGGGCACAAGATATGGACTGTGGGAACCACGGTGAACTTAACACCACTTACTTACAGTGAAACTAGACTTTTTCCATGTGGCTCATGAGGCAGGATCAAAGTGAAGGGCATAATATCAGATAGTAACAGATTTTAAAAGGAGAAGAAAAACTAGAGAAGTCTGGACAAATAGAACGCACATCATGAGATGATAAATGTAAAGTCAAGGAGAAAAAGTCCCATTGAATGCGAATGGACAAAAAGATCCAGATAAAAATCCACAACTTTCTAAACCAACCAACCGACCAACAAGGGCAAGCTTTTGCAGTGCCTGGGTGGCTCAGTCAGTTAAGCGTCTGCCTTCAGCTCAGGTCATGATCCCAGGGACCTGGGATTGAGCCCCACATCCAGCTCCCTGCTCAGCGGGAGTCTGCTTCTCCCTCTCCCTCTGCCCCTCCCCCCACTCATGCTTTTTCTCTCTCTGCTCTCTCTTTCAAATAAATAAATAAAATCTTTCAAAAAAAATGCAGGAAAAATAAAATCCTCGAGTGGCAAATTTTCACAGCCCTCTCTCAGCAGCCCCCAAACTAGTAAGGATACAGAAGATTGGACAGTTAAAACATCTGAATGTAGAGGTAGATACATAATCATATAAAGTACATAGCATATAGAAGGAGATACAAAATAAAGACATAAAATACATGTATAATAATTATGCATTTAGATATTAGATAAGATAAAATAGAAGTTAAAAAATAAAACTATTCTACATTCGTATAAAATGAATATATACAGATACAGAAATATGTATATATATTAATACATACAGTTATACACAGAAATCTATAGGTTATTTTACCAAGAAGATAAAGGAGAGTCATTATTTTTAAGGACATATCATATGTTTATAAAATTTAAGCATGAATTGGACATAAAGCAAGTCTCAATATATTTCAGAAGAGTGAAACCCACAAAGGATGTTCTTTGATCACAGTTGCAAATGTGCTGGATCATTGAAGAAATGATAACTAGCATTGCCACATATGTTTGGTAATTGAATAGCCTTTTGAACAAAACTACAGAAGGAAATCTGAAAGGAAAAATCAGTGGGAACTGGATGAAAATGATACTGAATAAATGGCAGTAAAATAGACCTCTTCTGTCTTGGGAATTTGCCTTTGGATAGAAAGATTTATGGTGTTCAAATCATCCCATATTAAGGGAGAAGGTGTTACACGTTAAACATCCCTAGAAATGCCCCTTATCTCTGTCACCTTATTAGGTGTTAGTGTGGGGTTTACATTATGCACATAAATGGAAAAATGCCAAGCTGCATCTCATGCTTGATCTGTGTGGGATCTCCATGACCATTTTAATTCATAAAGTTCATAAGCTTCTCTCTCAAGGGACTTCTGGACAACACCCAGGGAGTGTGGCACCACCAGGAGCCTGAGAGAGGGTGAGGAAGAATCAGAGGGAGATAGGGGTCGAGAGAAGAAGGGACAATGAGGAATTGCAAGGAGGAAAGGGGGAGGTGGTCCAGGTGTGTGGAGGCCGTGGGCCAGGGAGCCCTCCTATACCAGAGGGGCCTTGCTCAATTTCCAAAACCAGGCCCCAGATCCTGCAGCCTGGAACTGGCACAGATGCATTGCTGATCTCGACCCAAAGTATTCGAAAATAAGGTCCGTGTTCTCCCTCCGGAGCTAGCAATGTGCAGCAGGATGGGGGGGTTGCTATCCTCATGTCCACTGTGGATCCTGATGCAGGATGGTAGGTGGACAGTTTCCAACCCCAAGCATTCGGGGCGCCTGGGTGGCTCAGTCTTTAAGCATCTGCCTTTGGCTCTGGTCATGATCCCAGAGTCCTGGGATCAAACCCGGCATCGGGCTCCCGGCTCAGCTTCTCCCTCTCCCACTCCCCTGCCTGTGTTCCCTCTCTCACTGTCTCTCATTCAGAGTGAGAGAGGGAACAAGTCAAAAAAAAATCTTAAACAAAACCAAAAAACAAACCCCAAGCATTCTCTTACATCCAAGCAGAAACGTCATACTTCACCAAGCTTCTTCTAGTTGTGACCGGATGGCAATTAGTATTTGAAGGTAAAATGGGTTCCTTCCCAGACTGATGGAAACGATTTCATCCATCTTCCATGTCTAAATCACTTTTCATTGAAAACATTATCTCAGGAGACATGCAGTAATTCATAAGGCATGTGTAGCTCCCTCTAGGTTTGCATTTGGACCCTGTCACCTATGTGTTCCCAAACACTTGATTGGCAAAGTTGAAACTACGCTGTCACGATCAAGATCATGGTGCTAGATGATGTCTTACCTAAATGGAATTTCAATATCCTGACCTGACCGGAAATTATTCTGTTCTTAAGAGGGAGAAGATTGAAAGTAAAATTAAGATAGTGTACTGGGTGTCAGTGTTTTATGTACTAGGAACCTTTTGGTGGGTAAACCCAAGCACGTGAGTTTGCATTATGTCAATTTGCAGTCTGTATTTTGGAGGGGAGTGGTGGCAGCGCTAGCAGTTCCCTAGTGACATTGACAAAATCGGTTTCATTCTTCAGTGACACAGAAAGGAGAAGGTACAGATGTCTTTGTGTCTGAGGCACCGTCACAAAGCCCTGTCCCAGTCTGGAGAACAGGCTTGGCGGGACCCAAGCACCCTCAGTGCCTGCAGCTGAGCAGCCATGGCTTGGAGAATTGTAGGGATTCCCAGGGCAGCCGGCAGGGGGCGCGCGCGCACCTCCGACGGTGGGGGGCGGGGGCGCGCGCGCACCTCCGACGGTGGGGGGCGGGGGCGCGCGCGCACCTCCGACGGTGGGGGGCGGGGGCGCGCGCGCACCTCCGACGGTGGGGGGCGGGGGCGCGCGCGCACCTCCGACGGTGGGGGGCGGGGGCGCGCGCGCACCTCCGACGGTGGGGGGCGGGGGCGCGCGCGCACCTCCGACGGGGGGGGGCGGGGGCGCGCGCGCACCTCCGACGAGGGGGGGGGCGGTTTCCCTGAGGGCGCAGCAACTGCCTGCTGTAGGAAGACTTCATGGCCTTCTCTGACCCAGGGCACCGCAGGGCAGGAGAGGTTTCTGCTGCCCCCCGAGGACCCACTACCCTCCGAGAGCCAGGGCTGCGTTTACCAGCAAGTTCTGCCGCCGCCCTGGGAGAACCTGGGGCCTTTGCAGCAACTTGGTGCCTCCTGAGGAGCGAAGGAGAAGCAGCCTTGTTGGCTGAGTGCTGAGCAGGGGGCTCTGGGCGGCTTCCCAGGCCCTGCTGGTAGGTGAGCAGCACAGTCGCTTGCATTTGGGGGGCTGTTGCCCTGGTTTGGTCCTTATTTTCCCTGAGGGTATTTGAACAAGAGGTATTTGACTCGGGCATCCGTGGATGGAGGGGTCCCGTGACGCCACGTCAGAGATGCTGTGGTGGTTTTGTTACAGATGCAGGCTTGTTTCTGGGGAGAAATCCTGACTCCAATTAAGAGGAAGGGGAGCAGCATTTAGTTGGGAGGTGAAGACGCTAACTGCTGCCTCTCAGGACCTTCTAGAAGAATGAGCTGGGATCCCACTTTCTGATTTCTGCTGGAACCAGAGCCCCAGGTAAAAACCAAGTACCGTCCAGTTTGTAACCTTAAAGGTAGAAACTCTCAGGGAATTATCAGCCCAGGTCGGGTTTCTTTGGAAGGAAAGAGACTTGAATGCAGGACAGAGAAGCTGTGATTCAACCGTAGGCACATTGGGGAATATCAGAGAGGCTCCCTGTTTTCAGGAGGAAAGGGGGCAATTTGGAAGGCTGTTAAGAACCGAAGGTCCATTGGTGGCATCTGGGAGTTCCAAGTGTTGTAGCTTCTCGTGGGTGAGCCCTGTTGGAGGAGGTGAGGGGGGGATATAGAGATGAGAATAGAGTTCTGCTAGCTGGAGTAGTGGAGTATCCATGTGCGAGGTCAAGTCCATGTCTTCCTGTTGGGTCCCCACTTTATTTGGAGGGGTAGGGTGTGGGGGCTCCCCCTGCCCAAACCTCCTGCCTGTGTTTTGTGACATTTCCCGTTAGGAGTTTTCAAAATTACCCTTTTAAAAAAATTTTATTACGTTAGTCGCCATGCAGTACGTTAGTTTTTGATGTAGTGTTCCATGATTCATTGTATTTGTGTAACACCCTCACTCCTTCTGATCAAGATTTGCTTTGATGAGCAAAATAAATCAGAGAAAGATAAATACTGTATGATTTTACTCATCTGTGGAGTTTATAAAGAAAAAAAAAACAAATGAGCCAAGAGAAGAAAAAAGAGTCAAACCAAGAAACACTCTTAAGTAGAGAGAACAACCTGTTGTTACCGAGGGGAGGTGTTTGGGGGAATGGGTTGAATAGGTGATAGGGATTAGGATGAGCACCAGGTGTTGCCTGGAAGTGTTGAAGCGCTAGATTGTACACCTGAAATGAGTATCATAGTGTATGTGGACTAATTGTAAATAAGAACTTTAAAAAAGTTTCCTTGGGAGAATTTCTTTTTCTCTTTAGGATTTTATTTATTTGTATGTATGTATGAGAGAGAGACAGAGAGGCAGAGAGGCAGAGGGAGAAACAGGCCCCCGCTGAGCAAGGATCCCAATGTGGGACTCAATCCCAGGACCCTGGGACCATGACCTGAGCCAAAGGCAGACGCTTAATCGACTGAGCCGCCCAGGTGTTCCTGGAAGGCTTCCTGATCAACAGTCAAGTTCTTTGTAGTTAGTGGTTTTGTGTTTCAGTGCCAGCAAAGCTTTTTCAGATTGGCATGTCTCATGTTGGAGGGAATGTGCATGGCAGTTGTAGACTACTCAAGTGACACCTGAGGAACAGGGAGGGTTAGATGGGAGAAACTCACGAACTTCCCATGTGAAGTCTGTATCTGCTCAAGACTGAGACCAGTGAGCCAGCATCACTTCATTGGAGACAGTGTTTCTACAAAGGACTGAGAGACAGCAAGTACAGAATCAAAAACAAGATGACAATTCCAAACCATATGCTGGTTTTAATCCAGGACCCTAGGTCTGAAAGGAGCCAACTGAAAATATTTATTGGCACTTGTTTGGACTGAAGGCAAACCCGGAGTCCTGTATGCCTCCTGGAAGTGTCCTCCCCCAGTGGCTAGAAACAAAACAGACAAATACTGCAGGAATGCACTGAATGAAATCACTGAGCACATTAGGGAACATAGAGTACACTGAAGAACATGAAGCAATAGTTAGAGAACTTGTTGCAAGAATAGGAATACTTCTGGGACATTTCAAAACAGTATTGTTCTTTCAAAAGAACTGTTTAGAACTATATGGGTTATCAGTAGTGGTCTGTTATGTTGTAAATTCAGAAACCATGCATTTGGATTAGAATCAGGATTCAGTTAGTAGTTGAGGTAAAAGAAAGACTTTTGAATTCTGAACCTTCTAAACCTCTAGAAATGCTCACAAGATCAAAAGGAGGCGATTTTAGGGAAGATCATAATCCAAAGAGGTTTCCTCCTTTTGCAAGAGACTGGGATATGCAGAAAATGGCATGTTCTTTGCACAAAAGAGGTAGAAGGAGCAACAGTGAGAAAAGGAATGCAGGCCTGGTCTGGACATGTGGGGCAAGCTGTCTCCCCAGATGTTTTCTATTGCAATTTGGGAAGTATTTACCTTCTTGTCACCAGCTGGTGTACAGGTCCAGTCAGGGTTTGGTGCCTTCTTTAAATGTGTCCCGTGGACCCAAGAGTCCATTCCCTGGGATTTGGCAGCACAAGGTTTGGTTAGCAGTATGTGATAAGGGCCTCTCAAGGGAGGTTGAAGAGAATCTCTGTGGAGGTGTCTTTTCCAATGGAGAGACTCTCCAGGTTGCAAGGTGTGATGATCAAGGTAAGTGTCCGCTGGGAGTGGCCTGTGAAAAGATTGCTCTGCTACAACATGGTTAGTTTTAATAGAAGCAACTAGATGTTTGCATTATTGAAATATATCCCCTTTTCCCACCTGTGGGTCAAAAGGGGCAGTGGTCGAATGCATGGATGTCCAGTGACTGTCTCCAAGGGTGAGAGTCTGAGTTCCAAAGGGTGTGGACTTGAGATTTCGAAGGAGTAACAGCAATGCCTTTGTCCCAGGTAGTTGGAAAATTTGCACATTTTGCTCATTGAGTCCCCAGTATTGCCATTATTGCATTGGACCATCTGTGAAGATAGGGGTTAGTAATGTACAATGAAAGTGTTGTAAAACTGGCCAAACATCACAAACGGGGTGAGGGCCCTGCACGGTAGAATGGGTTTTCTGGTCACTGTGTAGTTCAAGAGGGCTTCCCTGGGAGGGATAATTTTTTCTAACAGGATTTCAGCCACACACGAGTCATTGGCCTTTCTCCAAGGGAAAGCTTTGGTCCAGTGAGGAAACATAGGCACATTGACTAACACTTATTTCCATGAGATGAGGAAGTGGCATGAAATCCACTTGCCAAATCTCAAAGGGTTCATTGGGCAGTTTAAATGCCCACGGGAGGTATGGATTTCTTTCCCAGGATTGTATTTTGGACCAATGGGAGGAGCAAGGTAGGCACTTTTTTGCAGCCTTCTTAATATTTCCCCACCAATATTGGTTCATGAACACTATCAGTTTGTTATTAGACCAATGGTTTAAGGTTTGTACTATTGTCAGGCATGGGAATTTTAGAATTTTGGGGAGGGCCAGATTGTTACTTGATCCAAGGCAGAATTCTCTCTTTTTATCAGTCATTAGATTCCCAACATTGTTTCTCCTTCTCTGGGCCCAGTTGTTGGGCATATCTGATCAATTTTTCCAAACTGTCAATTGGTAGGACATCCCTTCAGAACATGACAGAGGCCTGACTCTCAAGCTCCTTTTGAGCAGATTTTTTGGCAGAAATGTCAGCAAGGCTGTTTCCTCTGGCCCCCAGGGAGTCAAGTGCAGAATATCCCTGGGACCTTAATAATAGCTAGATCTGCAGGCAAAAATATGGCATCTGATGAATTTTGGACATCGCCATTTTTTAAATTTTTAAATTTTATTATGTTACTCACCATACAGTACATCATTAGTTTCTTTTTTCTTTAAAGATTTTATTTATTTATTTGACAGAGAGACCCACAGCAAGAGAGGGAACACAAGCAGGGAGAGTGGGAGAGGGAGAAGCAGGCTTCCCGCCGAGCAGGGAGCCCGACGTAGGGGCTCGATCCCAGGACCCTGGGATCATGACCTGAGCCGAAGGCAGACACTTAACGAGTGAGCCACCCAGGCGTCCCTGTACTGTGGAGTTTTATGGTTTTTATATTCTGGTTTTTCATGACCTATCTTGTTTTTCCGTCAAAACCAAACTATCCTGTCTCCTTGTGCCTCAGGGCGCTACTGAAAATCTAGTAAGTGATTTCCAGTATAGAGGAAGGACTGGATCCGTGATCCATTCCTCCCACAGTTTTGATCTTTGAGATAATACCTTAACTCAAAAGTGCTCTAATGGCAAGCAGGTATTATAGGCCATAGCATGTAGGTGGAAGGACTGCAAATTGAGGACTTTTCGTTTCATCATCAGCACACCACCCTATGCGCAGTCTCAGTCAGCTAGGTGTCTAACTCTTGATTTAATTTTGGCTCAGGTCACGATCTCATAGTTGTTGGATTGAGCCCTGCGTCAGTGTCAGGCTCCACATGCAGCAGGGAGTCTGCTTGAGATTCTGTCTCTTCCTCTGCCTTCCCCACGTCCTCCCCTCCCCCGCCTCGATCTCATGCACTCTCTCTCTGTAATAAATAAATTAATCTTTAAAAAATGAGTCAGAAAAAGATAAACATTCAGATTTTAAAATCGAAAAAGGACAGTAAACAGCAGAAAAACTTCAATCTTACTAGTAATCAAAAGACAAGTAAGATTACTCACTTTTTTTTTTTTTTGAGATTATTCACTTTTCACATTGGCCAAGACTTAAAACCTGATAATATCCAATGTTACTTGCTCCTTTACTGTCTGTAAGGGTTTTTGTAAGTTTCATGTTATTTCTTCCATAAATGTTTGATAGGATTTACCAGTAAAACCACCTGGGTCTGGGGCTTTCTTTCTGGTAAGGTTGTTAATAATTATTTCAGTTATTAAAATAGATACCGGATCATTCAGATTTTTGTTTTATTTTGTGTGGTATGTTCTATTTTTTGAGGCATCTTTCCATTTCATCTACATTGTTGAATTTGTTGACCTAAAACTGTTCATAGTATTTTCTTGTTATCTTTTTTTTTAAAGATTTATTTATCTCTTTTAGAGAGAGAATGTGAGAGACTGGTAGAGGGGTAGAGGGTGAGGGAGAGCGAGAATCTCAAGCAGGTTCCCCACTGAGTGCAGAGCCCAACATGGGGCTCAATCCCATGACCCTGAGATCATGACCTAAGCCAAAACTGGCTAAGGCCAACACTTAATCAACTGAGCCACCCAGGCACCTCTGTCTTTTTAATATGTGTAAGATCTGTAGCGATAACTCCTTTTTTATTTCTGATACTGACATACAAAAATGTTATGTTAAAGGATGATCATCCAAGCGTTTTATAAAGTAAAAAATTGAAAAAAAACTAAAAACCAAACCTCCAACAATAAGGGATTAGTAAAGTAAAAAACTTTATCATCTTGACAGAATGAACTACTACATGTCCCTTAAAATTATATGAAAACTATTATGAAATAATACTGCAGACTTACCTGGATGACTAAAGTTTAAAAGATTCATAATAACAAGTGTTGTTGAGGGTATGGAGCAAATAGAACTTTTTTAAAAAAGGTTTCTCTTTAAATTCCAGTTAACATACAGTATAATATTCATTTCAGGTGTAGGGTTTAGTGATTCAGCAAACCAAACAACATCCAGTGCCCATCACAACAAATGTGCTTCTTAATCCCCACCACCTGTTTCACCCATCTCCCCACCCACCTCCCCTCTGGCAACCATCAGTGTGTTCTCTATAGTTATAAGTCTCTTTCTTGGTTTGCCTCTCTCTCTCTTTTTCCTTATGCTCATTTGTTTTGTTTCTCAAATTCCGCATATGATTGAAATCATCTGATATTTGTCTTTCTCTGACTGACTTATTTCGCTTAGCATAATTATGCAAATGGAACTTTTATTCAGCCTCCACTGTGGTAGGAGTATAAATTGGGAATTAGAAAACTGTGGTAATATCTTAATCAAACTTAAAATATGCATACCTTATGATTCACATCTCCCCTCCTAGATCTATATCAATCATCAATCTTTGCATATATTCAGCAACAGACATGTAGAATAATATTCAAAGCACCTTTATTCATGTTATCCCAGATTGGAATCAATCCCATTCTCTCACCAAAAGTAGAGTGGATAAGTAAATTTTAGGTGTTATTCATACAATGGGATTCTACATAGCAATGAAGAAGAATGAACTATTGATACAGATACAATGACATGGATAAATCTCACAGGCATTATTTTGAGAGAAAGAAGTCAGACACAAAAGAGTACAGACGGGATGATTCCATTTGTATAAGGGAGCAGGCAAAATTAATCTATGGTTTTAGAAGTCAGAATAATAGTTACTGATGGAAAGAGAGGCTAAAGGTAAACCTTGAGACCAGTTAGAGGTAAAGAAAGGAAGTGGTTCATTCAGAATTAACTCCAGTAGGGAGTGCTCAGAGGAGAGACTTCCTGAGCAAACTTTAGTTGAGTTTTTTAAGTTGTGTCAAAACACTGGGAAAGCAGGTTTGCGATTTAGAGAGTGGGATGTTCAAATTGCTTGTCATATTTAACATTCCTGTGACTTTTGTGGTTGGCCAGGTCTGAATTGGGATGGCCCATGGAATCTGCTTGCAGGCATCTGCCACTCAGAATTTTTTTTTTTAAGATTTTATTTATTTATTTGAGAGAGAGAGAATGAGAGAGAACACATGAGAGGGGGGAGGGTCAGAGGGAGAAGTAGACTCCCTGCCGAGCAGGGAGCCCAATGCGGGACTCGATCCAGGGACTCCAGGATCATGACCTGAGCTGAAGGCAGTCGCTTAACCAACTGAGCCACCCAGGCGCCCTGCCACTCAGAATTTATTGCTCTTAGGATTTAATGGACTTTTCCCAATTCCTGAAACTGCTTTTAGGTACAGAAATTTACTTCTAAGTTCATAAAAGGAGGAGTTCAGTTTTCACAGAGGCGTGAGGACATGAGGGAGCCTATTAGGGTGCTGGGAATATCTTATGTCCTAATCTAAATGTGATTACAGGTGCATAAATATGTAAACATTCATTGGGCTGTTCATGTAAGATTTGTGTACTTACTGAATATATGTTTTACTTAATTAAAAATTTTAAAATGGTATTATGTAAATATGCATTATTGCACAGAAAAACATTTCTCTTATATTGCTGAATGAAAAAGACAAGTTATGCTAGAACATTTCTCCTTGAACTCACTTCTACTAAAAAAGTGTTTCTATATACGAAGAAAGAAGACTAGAAGAATATACACCAAAATATGAGATGGTGAATGACTCTTATTTTTTTATTTTTGTTTATTTGCATTTTCTAAACTTTCTGTAATGCTTATGTATCTGAGGTGGTCCAGAGCCCTCCCCAGACCACCACAGCCCCACGCTCAATAGCAGTAACCACAAGCATTTACCGCCTCTGACCCCAACACACCTGGGACATCATCAGCTCTACCAGTCCACCAGAAGGAACCATCTTCATCCATGATCCCTCTGTCCCCTGTGAGGTAAGCCATGTGGACTCTCGCTGAAGCATATTCCTCCCAGCTCACCTGAGAGAAGAACAAATTCAGAAACCTAAATTTACATAACTTCCACAATCATTTAATGGCATGAGCTGAGCACTGTGCTAGCCCTGAAGGGAGATAGA